AGTGAAAGAGAAAAAAAGGCACAACACCAGAAAGAATCTTCACAGGAGTTTATTGTCCTAGAATTGGACAGTGTTTTGGTCCTTGGAGATCACAATTGTGCTTAGTGCTGGGGAAAAACACTCTCCTGAGCTCCCCAAGCGGTTCACTATGCAATTGCTTTATTCTTTTCTTGGAACATTTTGGTTACTATAAGGGAACCTTTCATGAGAAATATTTCTGTTCTTTCATTCACAAACCACTATCAGAAGATAAGCTTGTAAAGCTAATTCTTTAAGTGAATGACACAGAACATGTATGTAGCTGGTAGAGATAGGACGTCCGACCTGTAAAAACCAAAGAAGCCAAAGGGTCACCATGTCAAACTAGCAACTGTCATCTGTCTAAGAAGGTCTAAAATGGTATATAGAGCATTCATGTTATGACAAGTTTCCTTTAACCTGAACCCATGAATTGTATTGACATTCTAGTCTGGAACTGCACCTTTCTAAATGTCGAGGGGTTCCATGAAACTACTGGCAGTGGTGGGCACATTCACAGCTATAATTCATTTCCTATGGTATTGAGTGACACATTCTTTGGAACATTTGTTGACATATTCATTGAGCTGATAAGTTGGCCACATTTTTTGTAGCATCCACAGATGCATTTTGCATAGTAGCAATGGGCAGATTGACTGTAGCAATGCAAAACCAATCCCCAGTACACCTAGCTCTCCTGCCATTATTCTCATTCACTTTTCACCCTTAATAGCAACTTCTGCCCTTTCAGTAGTAATTGTCATAAATTAAACAACATGACATTTTAATTCAAACAAAATGCATGTGGTTTTTTTGATGGAGAAAAAAAAAAAATCTCTTAGTTAAAATGATTCCATGTGTTAATCACACGACCAATCAGGCAATGGTGGCAAGCAATAAAGTGGACCTGCTGTTAAAAATCAGACGTAACATGAATTAGTAAAACAGACATCAGCATTGCCACTTCAGCAGGTAAAATGGCAGGGTCATTATTTAAAGAACAGGAATCAGCACAAATCTCCAATGAATGTGTATAGCAACCTAGTTGGAATTGTTTGATTCTACAAAACTAGAGATTCATATTGAGAGCTTCCATCTCACCAAGTCTAATTAACTTCACCCATCTCTCCTATAAAGCAGCTGTCTCTGTAAATAGCAAAAATAATGGCTTCCATATCTCTGCTCTACACCCTTGTACTTTCAGTTTTTGATGTGTAGTATGTGATTCTATATATTGGTACAGCTGCAGAATATTTGTACTTTTTTAAATAAAATATCCACCTTGGCTCTAAGTAGGAAGTAGCTCTGTATACAGGCAATGCCACAATTATGCTGGGGTCTTGTTTCCTCCACTGGTAAATGGAATATTGATAATAGGATGTTTTTGGTCAATTGTACTGTCATCTTCTGGAAAGTTCCATGCCGTCTCTATCCCAAAATAACTTGATGCTACTATATATAACTTCCAATTGTTGTTTTCCTGTGGTACTGGTAATATCCTGTGTGAGAGAGGCTGCTTCTGTGTGCCTACATCATGTACTAAAGTCTGTTGAAGGTAAAAAAAAATGCAGTTACTGCCTATGTGCAGTCTTTTGACCGCAAGGGGAATTGGGTCATTTCCAGATCTCACGGAACCCCTGCTATATCTTCATCCCAGATGCATCAACATGACAAGTATGTAGTAAAAGTATAAAGAATGTTGTGAAATCAGCATATATGACACCCACGGCAGGTAATTTTTTGACACCCCCATGATAAAATTAGCTTTGGTAACAATCATGAAAGTAAGCAAAATAAAAAAATGATCTAGTAAAGACTTATGAATATTGTAATGCCACTTTGCCTCTTTACATTGGTGATCAGTGGGAAAGTGTCCCTTTATTTTGCTGGTCACTGCATGTTTTCATTGGTACCTCTTACTGGATATTGATGTGTATTATTATTATTTATCAGGATTTATATAGCGCCAACAGTTTGCTCAGCGCTTTACAATATAACAGGGAGACAATACAATTCAATACAATTCAATACAAGGGTTCGGAGGGCCCTGATCCTGGGAGCTTACAATCTAAGAGGGAGGGGCTGGTATTGATGTTTATTGTAATTCCCTCTTGCATTGAGAAATGCCACCCCTCCAATCAGCCAAAGAAATCACTGGTAACATTTGTAGAACTATATACAGTGGGGATCGAAAGACGCCATTTTTTTGTTTTCTGTTATTTTGAAAGTGTAAATGATGGAAATAAAATCTAACTTTTGTTGACATCTTATAGGAATGTCTAATCTGTAATTTGATGCCTTTTGGAGATTTTTCCATCTTTCCTTGGCTTCTTTATGCACATTAATACAAATTTTTAGCTGGGGTGCCCAAATAATTAAGTCTTCGATTATATTTTTGTAACCTACTTCACTAAAGTTAATTTTTTTTTTTTGTTGGTTGCTATAGGCAAGTCTTTATCCAGAGGAAGCTGCTATTCCAAAACTCCAGAACTTTTCTCTTTTTGTTCTACATTGTCAATGCTGATCATTTCTTTTTTACTTCTAACTGTGCCATACAGTCTATTATAATTTAAGCCATGTTAACAGTCATTCATCTACTGCAGTATATGCAGTCTAGATGTGACCAGGGTAATGCAAGCAATCCTATTAATATAATCATGTCAACACCTTAGACCACAGGTGTCAAACTGTGCCAAACTACAAGTCCCATGATGCATTGCAAGAGTGACAGTTGCAAGCATGACTTCCAAAGGTAGAGGCATGATGGGACTTTTAGTTTCGCAACAGCTGGAGGACTGCCAGTTTGACAGCCCTGCCTTAGACCATGCATATCTCATAGATCTACATATTTTACAACACAGTGATTATCTTTTACTGTTAGCTTTCAATAAGAGTCTATCATTCAGTTCAGAATCATCTAATTCTCAATACTAGCTTAATAAGGGCTATTATATTCAATTTTGTAAATTCGCCTACCAGTGTTAATTTTGTCGACTAAAATATTTTTGCCGACTAAATTAAAACTATTTTAGTCGACTAACATATGACTAAAACTACAGTAAAACAATTCAGATGACTAAAATACGACTAAAACTAAAATGGTATTTTATTAAAAAGACTATGACTAAAACTAAATCGATATTTGATGTCAAAATTACCACACTAGAATAAGTAGAGGGCATCTACTAAGGCTGCTGCAAGGGAAAAGAAATAAGAAAACAGCTTTTCTTATATTTTTTCCTAAAGTGGAGTTCCAGCCATTTTTGTATTTATTAAAAGTCAGCAGCTAAAAACTGTAGCTGCTGACTTTTAATAAACACACACTCACCAGTCCCGGGGTCCAGCGACATGCTCACCCGTGCCGTCCCTTCTCTCCTTCTTCTCTCTCTGGTACTGGCATTTCAACTGTGGGCACCAGGCTGTGCCAGCTTGCGGCTTCACAGCTGGGTGCCCAGTTCGCATGTGCAAGTCACGCTGTGCATCCTGATTGGACCAAGGGGGGGCGAACTTCCGTCTCACTTCACCGCAGCGAACTGAGCCGGAAGTTGGAGCGGGTACCTGTCAAAACCAGGTGTCCACTCCCCCCAAAAGGTGCCAAATATGGCAGTGGAGGGGGGAGGAAGCAAATAAGTGGAACTTCCACTTTTGGGTGGAACTCCACTTGAATATTTAATGTTGGTAATATATTCAGATAATATGTGCAATGGCATTACAGCCAATAGAATTTACAGTTTTTTGGCATTTTTATATTTTAGAGTTGCACTTCTATTTGTCAAAAAGGAATATTTTTGTTTGTTTATGAAATGTGGTTTTATTTATAAAGACGTTATATATCACAATGGCTAAATCTGTGTCTGTAGTTCAAACCTTATTGCCATAAATAATAACATTTTATTAGAGTTTTACTCCAAGAATATATAATGAGTTTGGCAATTCTAGAGAAATGCTTATATATAATGTATTACAATTTAACTAAACCCATTACATTTTAGTCGTCTAAAATGTATTGGAGATTTTAGTTGACTAAAATATGACGAAAACTAAAACAATTGAGATGACTAAAATACGACATAATGGCATTTTAGTCAGAAGACTATGATTAAAACTAAATTGAAATTTGAAGTCAAAATTAACACGGTCGTCTACAAGTATATTTGTGGATCGTGTGAAGGTACCTTTAATAAACCTACAAAAAAAAACATGAAAAGAACATCCAAACTCTGTGAAGATAGTAACCCTGGAAGCCACCAGGCCAAAGTCATTTGGAATTTTTTATTGTCTTTGGGACTTATATTAGCATTTCTGTTTGATACTTTATATTGTAAAGCGCTGCGCAAACTGTTAGCGCTATATAAATCCTGTATAATAATAATACTTTATTTTCTTTTGAAAACCACAGTTGTTCTTTATATTAACAAAAGATTAAGCAGTTCGTCAAACACTTTCATATTAGATACAGGAGGATGCCTGCTGAACCTTGCCATCGGGGACCTGTGTTTAGATAATAAAGTCTAATGTGGTATGGTTCACTACCACATTGCAACACAGTAGCCATATTTGTCTTGCGCATAAACTACCTGTTTATTTCCTTGGACCCCCCTTGACTTGTTATTTCAAGAAGCTTATCTTCAGAAGCAGATTCTGGGCAAATCATTCCATCCAGACATAGCCAGAGACACTGACATTCCACACCAGGATGGAGACTGAAGATGATGGTCCAGTACAGGATGTAGGCTGGAGCCTCAGTGAGCAGACACTGGACAGCAAGGCACAATAAACTGTCATTATCCCACCTAAAAATAAACATATACATTACATTATGGTGACCAGGGTAAGACAATGGCTGTTTCACCAACTCTACGTAAGCATCTCAATTATAGAATAGTTAGCTATTGTTGCCACTGATATTAAAAAAATTTCCAATCATACTTTGCCGATCAAGATCTAAGACCTAAGTCAGTTACCATAATATCTTAGAGAACAAAGACCACCACAGCACCATTGGAACATATTTACTAAATTGGATTAGAACATACGCATTACAGTTATAAATGCACCTCTATAAGCTTAGCAGCTGCTATCTACTATATGTCAGCACATGTATCTGCTTGGCTGGAGGATTTTGCAAACCTTGCATTCATAAATATACTGAAAAGGCAGAGGTTCAGCGAAGGACACAAAGCTGACCCTGGAGCAGGGGCGGACTGGCCATTTGGAAACTCGTTCACTGCCCGAGGTCAGTAGGGGGCCCCATGAGATGCCCCTGGTACCTTTTTCATAGTCTTTTTTGAGTTTAGGCAAGGACACAGGGGCCCCATGATCCCCTATTGCCCGGGGGCCCCATGAGTTGTCCGTCCGCCCCTGCCCTGGAGTAAGTCCTTTTCAACTTTCCTTAGGTAGCTGGATAGCAGACAGGTCAACAGGTCTGGGAAGATCTTTAGGCATCTCCAGCAGATGTGGCCTTCCTCGTGTGCTTATAGGTAGCTGGTCTTTGTTCCTGATATATTGAGTTATTGACCTTGGCTGCACATGGCAGCTTTCAGGTATGCCTAACCAGTGACAGCCTAGGTTAGAGACACTAGGTAGAGCTAAAAGTGGGCCCTAATTGGGCGCAGGAATCAGTCTAGACCAGGGGTGTCAAACTGGCGGCCCTCCAGCTGTTGCAAAACTACAAATCCCATCATGCCTCTGCCTTTGGGAGTCATGCTTGTAACTGTCAATCTTGCAATGCCTCATGGGACTTGTAGTTTGGCAACAGCTGGAGGGCCACAAGTTTGACACTCATGGTCTAGACCAGCAATGGGAAAACTACGGCCCGCGGGCCGTATACGGCCCGGCGGACCTTTTAATCCGGCCAGCGGAGCGTGATACTGTCAGGATGGCTGTCAGGATGTGTGTAGGCGGGGCAGCGTGACGAACGCGAGGGGAGCTAGGCTCCTCTCACAGTCCGCCCTGAAGACCGGTGTAGCATGAAAATCTGTCTCCTATGAGGATCTGTCCCCCTCGACGTATCTGCGCATGTGCCGGAGATCGCCGATCGGCTGCTAATGCCTGAAACTGGCACATGCGCAGATACGTCGAGGGGGACAGATCTTCATAGGAGACAGATTTTCATGCTACACCGGAACGGCGAGGGAACACGGAGAGAGGAACGCGCGGAGCAAAGGTAAGTGAATTGACACAGGGGGGACTTGGGGACTTAATATGGGGGATGAATTAATATGGGGAATGAATTACTATAGGGGGGATGAATTACTATATGGGGGATGAATTACTATATGGGGGATGAATTACTATATGGGGGATGAATTACTATATGGGGGATGAATTACTATGGGGGATGAATTACTATATGGGGGATGAATTACTATGGGGGATGAATTACTATATGGGGGATTAATTACTATATGGGGGATGAATTACTATATGGGGGATGAATTCCTTTATGGGGGATGAATTACTATGGGGGATGAATTACTATATGGGGGATTAATTACTATGGGGGATGAATTACTATATGGGGGATGAATTACTATATGGGGGATTAATTACTATGGGGGATTAATTACTATATGGGGGATGAATTACTATATGGGGATGAATTACTATGGGGGATGAATTACTATATGGGGGATGAATTACTATGGGGGATGAATTACTATATGGGGATGAATTACTATATGGGGGATGAATTACTATATGGGGGATGAATTACTACAGGGGATGAATTACTACGGGGGATGAATTACTATGGGGGATGAATTACTATGGGGGATGAATTACTATATGGGGGATGAATTACTATGGGGGATGAATTACTATATGGGGGATTAATTACTATGCTTACTATGGGGGAATATTACTATACTTACTATGGATACACATACACATCATTCATCTACTCTTGGTCCGGCCCCCGGGTCCAATATATGAACCCATTGCGGCCCTCAAGTCAAAAAGTTTGCCCACCCCTGGTCTAGACCGAGAGGAGTATCTAAACAGAAAAAGTACACTAAGACAACTGATCGGAAGACAGTCAACCAAAGGAAGAAATAGATAAGAATTAAATAGATCAGAATGAATAAAAACATAAGGGATTACTAGAAGCATTCAAAGGCATTTTTTGAGCTGTGCCACAGTATATTTCAGTCAAAATAAATTAACTGAAAGATAATTTAAAAATGATTACAAACGAATTGCATTAAATTAAAATAAAATTTAAGCACTGCTGTTGTCTTTTTGGAACATAGACCAACTTAGAATATAAAGTTATCAAAAGACAGCGCTGCGCTACAGTGTATAATTTATCCTAATATCAGCGCTCATGAATAATGTAATTTTCAATCTCATTCCACATGCATTATGGAGCAATATGCCCTGGCAGTACTAGGGTCGTTGGTTTGAATCCCACCCACTGCACCACCTGCCTGGAGTTTGCATGCTCTCCCTGTGCCTGCGTGGGTTTCCTCCAGGTACTCCAGTTTCCTCCCACGCTCCAAAGACATGCTGGTAGGTTAATGGGCTCTTGTCTAAATTGGCCCTAGTATGTGTATGTATGAATGTAAGCTAGGGACCTTAGATTGTACACCCCTTGAGGGTTAGGGACCTTAGATTGTACGCCCCTTGAGGGTAGGGACCTTAGATTGTACGCCCCTTGAGGGTTAGGGACCTTAGATTGTACGCCCCTTGAGGGTTAGGGACCTTAGATTGTACTCCCTTGAGGGTTAGGGACCTTAGATTGTACTCCCTTGAGGGTTAGGGACCTTAGATTGTACGCCCCTTGAGGGTTAGGGACCTTAGATTGTACTCCCTTGAGGGTTAGGGACCTTAGATTGTACACCCCTTGAGGGTTAGGGACCTTAGATTGTACGCCCCTTGAGGGTTAGGGACCTTAGATTGTACACCCCTTGAGGGTTAGGGACCTTAGATTGTAAGCCCCTTGAGGGTTAGGGACCTTAGATTGTACGCCCCTTGAGGGTTAGGGACCTTACCTTAGACTGTACGCCCCTTGAGGGTTAGGGACCTTAGATTGTACGCCCCTTGAGGGTTAGGAACCTTAGATTGTACGCCCCTCGAGGGTTAGGGACCTTAGATTGTACTCCCCTTGAGGGTTAGGGACCTTACCTTAGATTGTACGCCCCTTGAGGGTTAGAGACCTTAGATTGTACGCCCCTTGAGGGTTAGGGACCTTAGATTGTACGCCCCTCGAGGGTTAGGGACCTTAGATTGTACGCCCCTTGAGGGTTAGGGACCTTACCTTAGACTGTACGCTCCTTGAGGGTTAGGGACCTTAGATTGTACGCCCCTCGAGGGTTAGGGACCTCCTTAGATTGTACGCCCCTCGAGGGTTAGGGACCTTAGATTGTACTCCCTTGAGGGTTAGGGACCTTAGATTGTACGCCCCTTGAGGGTTAGGGACCTTAGACTGTACGCCCCTTGAGGGTTAGGGACCTTAGATTGTACGCCCCTTGAGGGTTAGGGACCTTAGATTGTACACCCCTTGAGGGTTAGGGACCTTATATTGTACCCCCCTTGAGGGTTAGGGACCTTATATTGTACGCCCCTTGAGGGTTAGGGACCTTAGATTGTAGGCCCTTGAGGGTTAGGGACCTTAGATTGTACACCCCTTGAGGGTTAGGGAGAGATGTGAATGTACAATATATATATGTAAACTGACAGCGCTATATAAGTACCTGAAATAAAAAAATAAATATATATATCAGAGTGCCATTGTGCAAACCCTATTAATCCAATAATTAATATAAACAATACGTGCAATAAAAATATATTAATGTAATTAAAAAAAAGTCTGTGCAAGTCCATATACAGTATATTTAAACAGTCCCAGTATAATAAATCAGTCCCAATATACTAAATAAAGATGAAATTGTTTCTTTCTTATCAATTCTTCTTTCTTCCACTACACCATTGTTAAATTCACCACCAAAAATACCAGATAAACTTACCAGAGGTAAATGCTGGTGCTTTATGGAGTAAATGTTGGTGCGGTGTTGGACAGTGCAGGGGCGGACTGACCATTTGGAAACTTGGGCACTGCCCGAGGGCCCGGGGTCAGTAGGGGGCCCCATGAGATGCCCCTGGTACCTTTTTGGGCAAGGACACAGGGGCCCCATGATCCCCTATTGCCCGGGGGCCCCATGAGTTGTCAGTCCACCCCTGGGACAGTGCCACCATCTCTAACCTGAAGAGAAATGAAAAAAACCCTCTAGATGTGGGACTTTAGAGGCACAAGTTGCATACACATGTATATAAAACAATTAAAATCTTTATTGTACAAAATATAATAAAATCACATAGTAGATGATCAGCGGTTATAAAGGTTTAACCGCCGATCATTTACTATGTGATTTTATTATATTTTGTACAATAGATTTTCATTGTTTTATATACACGTGTATACCACTTGTGCCTCTGCAGTCCAACATCTTGAGGGTTTTTTTTTTTTTCAATTTCTGTGCTGGTGCATTATGAACCAGCTCACAGCGCATTCCCTTCTGGAAGCAATGATCCGCAGACTCAGCAAAATCCTATGCAAACTCTCACGGCCACCAATTTATATATTCAACAGGAGGAGAGAAAAGCTTGCATAGTATAAAATCCTTAAAACTTCTTTTATTTATAAAAATCAATCCAAAAAACTCACATTTCGATGTGTCTCCACTGACACAAATGTATTAGTATAAACATAAAACCAGGCTCGATCCAACCGCAAATCCTGGCAGGGACTGATGTTCGGACTTATGGCCGGGGCTATGTTTATGCTAATACACTTGTGTCAGTGGAGACACATCCAAATGTGATTTTTTTGGATTGATTTTATTATTTTTAGCACTTTTATTAAGTTAATTTATTCACGGTAGGGCAGAGGTGTCTTTTGATAACTTTATATTACTAGAAGCATACTCACCTAACAATCTGGTTCACATTAAAAACGGGAGAGAAACAAGGGCCAGATTCAAGGATAGAATCTTACGAATATCCAGGAGTATCCAGCAGAAAAAAAGATGTTCAGATCTGGTGCATGAACGCATCATACAACACATTCTGTGCATACATGTTTGTATGTCATTGTGTAAATGGACATCTGCAGCTAGAAAAGCACATTTGCATGGCTAGTAGTCATTAGCACTGGAAATGCACAAGTGAGCTCCATGACAACTTAAAGTGATTGTAAAGTTTCAGCTGTTTTTTTATTAAAAAAACAAACATGTCTATACTTAGCTACTGTGTGCGGTGGTTTTGCACAGAGCAGCCTTGATCCTCCACTTCTTGGGTCCCCTCCCCCGGAACTTCTGGCTCTGGGGGCACTCGTGTAGGCTCCCTCCCGAGCCCCGCTGCCTGCCTGTGTCTATTCCTCATCACAGAGTTTGACAGCAGCGAGAGGAGGAAGAGAGCTGCTGCTCTCATGCACAGTGCTTGATTGTGATGGGGTTCAGGTTAGTATGGGGAGGGGAGGCAGGGGCGGACTGACCATTTGGAAACTCGGGCACTGCCCGAGGGCCCAAGGTCAGTAGGGGGCCCCATGAGATGCCCCTGGTACCTTTTTCATAGGCTTTTTTGAGTTTGGGCAAGGACACAGGGGCCCCATGATCCCCTATTGCCCGGGGGCCCCATGAGTTGTCAGTCTGCCCCTGGGGGGGAGGCTTAAGGCTTCAGAACCACTTAACAATGATTGAGCAATATTTGAATCTATTCAGTTTATCGTAACTCTTGAGACTTGTAAAATTGAATGTACCCCATTGCAGCATACTTCTTACCTGGTTCCTGGAGGGGTCTGAAGCCTCTCATCACTTGATTCTGTAGTGAACAACCTCCTGCTATTTTTGCAATGTTAATCGGGCTTGTAGAGAGCGTGGTGTTGATCAAGAGACCACGTTGGCTCCATTATGATATTGTGATTTAGCTGGAGGGTCAGCCAACTGTTCAGCATGGAGGATGAACAATAGTGCCATCTAGCAGGATATCATGCAGAATATTGATACTTGAAATATACATATCTTCAAGATGTGTGGGCATTTGTTACAAATTAAACAATCTTGGTGACCAGTGTTAAAATCAGTGAATCTTTTTCTGCTAGTGAATCTTTTTCTGCTACTGAATCTCCAGGACCCAGGTCTGTCTGTGGAATTCAGGAACCTTTAGATACTATAGACTATAGTCTGCTATCATGTTATCTTGGAGCAGTTTATTGCAGGCAGTGTTTGTATCTGCAGATAGAGGCTCAGCTACGTTCAAGGTCTTCTGTAATAACAAAGAACAACATAACTGGAAACGTGGCACTCTGTTACCTGCAGTCACAGCTGCTTCACTGCCAAATGTGCATTCTTCCTACAAACACAATCAAGGACATTCTACTGAAACATCTTATTTATTAAGGCAAAGAACAGTATGCAAAGTGCAGTAACCCAACTACAAACTTTTGCTGTTCTTGCTTCTCTTAACTTTATAAATCAGTAGTCCTCATGCACACGGGACGTTATTACAGCGGCTGTTTTTGGCTTTTGACATTTTTTTCTACAGCCAGTAAACCCCCCAGCATGTTATCCTATGTGTCAGAGGCATAGCTAGGGGGGATACATATGTACCCGGGCGCCAAGGTACAGGGGCGCCAAAAAAGAGGCTTACAGTCCTACGACGATCCAGTCCAGGAGGCGCTGCTGGAGGAGGGGTAGAGAGGTCCGCAGGTCCGGTGTCTTCTTTTCCCTGGACGCGATGTGTGGGCGGGATGACATGCCGCTCCTGTCATCTGGCCACACCCTCGGGATCACTGGACAGCCTATGGCAGCTTGTACCTCCCTCTGCAAGCTCTGCCTCCTCACAGTCCCACGACGATCCAGTCCAGGAGACGCTGCTGGAGGAGGGGTAGAGAGGTCCGCAGGTTCGGTGTCTTCTTTTCCCTGGACGCGATGTGTGGGTGGGATGACATGCCGCCCGTCATCTGGCCACACCCTCGGGATCACTGGACAGCCTATGGCAGCTTGTACCTCCCTCTGCAAGCTCTGCCTCCTCACCGGTGATTGGGCACCAAAACTGTAGCTCAGGAAAGGCACACAGGCGGCCAATCACCTGCGAGGAGGCGGAGCTTGGAGAGGAGGAGCCGAGTGGCAGCGCGAAGTGAAGAAGACAGCTGACTGGTAAGTGTGCCGTGCAGATGGTGCTGCTGCAACCAGGTATGCTGGCTGTGGATGGAAGAGGGAAGGAGCCTAGACTGGAGCAGGGGTCAGCAAGGTAAGTGTCACTGGTGTCAGTGGGAGGACTAGTGCCCCATCATTGGTGTCACTGATGTGACTAAACGGGGAGGGGGGCTGGGGCACCAATTTTTTAGTTCGTCCCAGGGTGCAAAATATCCTAGCTACGCCTCTGCTATGTGTCCATGCATAGACTGTAATCAACGTTTTGCTTTTTGGCTGAAAAAAAAAACCCAGGACTAGTGGGTCTCTAGAGGAGTTTTTTAGGGTAAAAAAAACGCTAAAAAATGAAACCACCGCTAATTGCGTCAAAACGCTCCTAAACGCTAATGCAAAAATGCTAAAAAAAAAGCTGTAAAACTCACGTTTTTTACGTGACTTTACACAGCTAATGCTACCAGCGTTATCAAAACGTCCCGTGTGCATGGTGGGGGCTTAGGCTTTGTGCACATTGGGCCCTTTTTACAGCTTCTGTTTTTGGCTTCTGGCATTTTTTTATACAGCCAGTAAACTCTCCAGCATGTTATCCTATGTGTCCATGCACACATAGACTGTAATCAACGTTTTGCTTTTGGGCTGGAAAAAAACCCCAGAAATAGTGGGTTTCTAGAGGAGTTTTTTAGCTGTAAAAATGCTCTAATGCTGAAAAACATGGCAAAATGCGTGGCAAAATGTAACCCAAAAATTCTTTTTTTGGTAAAAAATGGTAAAAAAACACAAACGCAGAAAAACGCCACTAATCACGGCAAAACGCTGCTAAACGCTAATGCAAAAATGCTACAAAAAACTGTAAAACGCGCGTTTTTAACGTGACTTTACACAGCTAACGTTACCGGCGTTATCAAAACGTCCCGTTTGCATGAGGGCTTAGGCCTTGTGCACATTGGGCCTTTTTTTTACAGTTTCTGTTGCTGGCTTCTGGCATTTTTTCTACAGCCAGTAAACTCCCTAGGATGTTATCTTATGTATCCATGCATACATAGGCTTTAATCAGCGTTCTTCGGCAGGGGCGTTTTTCTGGCTGGGAAAAAAACCCAGAATTAGTAGGTTTCAAGTGGAGTTTTTTAGCTGTAAAAATGCTCTAATGTTGATAAAAGCTGAAAACGCTATAAAAAAAACCACAGCTATATGAGTGTTTTTGAGCCTCAAGCCTTTTGTGGGAGTATAATTTAGCTAAAAAATGCTAAAAAACAATGCAAATGCTGAAAAAAGCTCATGGAAAAGTACTAAAAAGTGACAAAGCTCGTGTTTTTAATTCAGCATTCTACAGCTAATGCTACAAGCATTTTTATAATGTTCAGTGTGCATGAGGCCTAAAACACTCATATGTAATACTTTATTATAGTACAGCTACCAAAAAATGCTTCTCATTATGTTCCCTTTTTTGTTCTGCCATTTACAGACTATACTTTTATACCTTTACTTTTTGCATGTACAAAGTATATTGTTTTTTTCTTATATTTAGTGGTCCTCAATTTTCTCATCTAACTGGTAATTGTGTAAGCCCGATCTTGCTTGCTAGTTTATTCCTCTGTGTTACCAAGCAGTAATGAAATCCTGCTTTTCAGGTTGTCCCAACCTCTGGCAGAAGGGTTCTACTTATCAGGAACTATTTCCTAAGGAAGTGCAGCACAGTCTTAAAGTATCACTAAAGGCAAAACATTTTTTTTTTGTTTTGGATAGAGTGGAGAGGGATCAGAACACTTGTCAGTTTTTATTGCTGTCTGTTTAGGAGATTCACCCTCGATATTTGTTCTGTTTACCATTATCATTGACAGTGAGAGTAAAAGAAAATTCCAAAGTTGGGGTTGTCCCTAGAAAAGGGGGGAATCTTCCAATGGGAACACTGATTCTGGTGACCTGGGGATCCCCAAGGAAATCCCTTAATTTTCAGGGATTTCCTCCCACTTCCTGTTTGGCTATGGTACAGGAAGTAAAGAGAAATCTCTGCAATCTTAAAATCTTCCCTAGCGCTATACAAAATGAAAAAAAAAGTTTTGCCTATAGTTCTACTTTAAGCTGTCCATACGGTAGTAGATTTTTGTTATATTCAGGGGCGGACTGACAACTCATGGGGCCCCCGAGCAATAGGGGATCATGGGGCCCCTGTGTCCTTGCCCACACTCAAACCACACCCAAAAAAGCCTATGAAAGGTACCAGGAACATCTCATGGGGCCCCCTACTGACCCTGGGACCTCGGGCAGTGCCCGAGTTTCCCAATGGTCAGTCCGCCATTGGTTATATTATATACACAGTTGCTGATATACTACATTTTTCACCAAAGTGTTCCATTAAAATATATTCCAAAAAAGAACTCAGAATTCCTTTGTCCTTTTGGAAATTCATATTTATTTACATCAATAAGGAAGCATTCTCTAAAGTCTGCCTATGCACTCTTTGTATTACAAATGCATATTTCAAATTCTAATGAGAAAGGAAGATATTACTTTACATATTTAAGTCATTTGTATACAGTGTTTTTGGTCAACCAACCATCCCTGCCCCCGCAGCCAGCAGGTAGGGTTCTAGGGTGGGCTGACATATTTATCTGCACTTCTTTGTTCTTATACTTTACAGGGTACAGGGTGGTCATTTGATCCTCCGATGTTCAGCTCTATTTAGAACACACAACTCTGAAGGGACTCACCCCCTCCATGTAACTAGTTCAGTGTTTCTCAACCTTTTTTCAGTCAAGGCACCCTTTAAAATAATGGACAGTCTTGAGGCACCCAATTTTATAATGGGGCGCCTCAAGACTGTCCATAATTTTAAAAGGACACCCCATTCTAAAATGTGAAAAAACTATTCTAGTTTTATATAATGCAGCAAAAATCCACACATGTAGGACACACAACATTAGAGGGGATTTATACTTCCAAAGCAAATACACTTTTGCACACTGGTACTGACTAGTATTCCCATGTTTCTCTTCTCCCTCAGTTTTTCTCCATCACTGAGCTAATGTAACTCCAGAACTGATGGAGAGGGGTGGGGGAGGGTCAAACTAGGATGCTGTGGAGGCAGCTGACATCCTCCTTATCAACTGATGATGTCATTGATTGTCAGGACACCGGAGGCCAGAAGGTTGTAATGGTGGACAATGAAAACCTGTGGCTTTGTGTAATTAAAAGCCACCCACTGGCTTGTGTACAAGTTTTGGCTATTTTTTTAGACATTTTGCCAAGGCACCCCTGAAGAAGCCTCAAGGCACCCCAGGGTGCCTGGGCACCCTGGTTGAGAAAGGCTGAACTAGTTTAAAGGGCTTTGTATGGGGTGTCAATAAGGTTCTGTATATAGCTGGGCATTTTGAATCATGGGCAGAATCACTGCAATTCTCCCCACGATTTCAAAACATTCCACTAAAATGACAGGACCTCCTGCTCCTTTTTGGGGCTACAAGCATTGCAAGATGTGGTTT